TTTATACAAATAATATTGAATTTTGATATAAAACAATAAAAGGGAGAATTGGACACAAGTACATTTTTAAAATATTTTATTTTTTAATTTTGAATTTATAATTTATTTTGGTGTTTTTTGAAATATATTTTATCAATATAAAGTCATTATGGGAAAATTTTCTTCTTTATAAGAAAATGAGGTTTTTTTTTGCACATTTTAAAAGTTCAGGGGTATATATGCACTTCCACATATATTTCAGGGGTATATTTGTTCCGAAAAATAGAACAAGAATATATTTGTTCTCACACCTATAATGCAAGGGTATATTTGTACTTTTCCCCTATTTTTTATGGGCTTTGTCCTTAAATATTACTCCATCCGTCCCGGAATTATCTTCATTCTTTCCTTTTTGGTCCGTCCCAAATTTATCTCCTTTTTCCCTTTTCGGTAAATAATGTGTGGTTCACGACCATTCTTACACATTTCTTTCTCCTCTGCATTACTTTCCACCACACAAATCCCATTATCTTAAAACCTGTGCCCGGTCAAAACCAGAGTTAAATATGGGACGGAGGGAGTACTAAATTGAAAGCAATTTCCAAAAATTGTGACTGCTTTTAAATATGAACAAAAATGTGATTAGAAGGTCATATTTTTAAAAATTGTGACCATAAGGTCATATTTCCAACAGTTTTATGTCACTTCGATTTTTTATGTCACTATGAATTGTCACTATCATTTTTTATGTCACTTACGTATGTCACTGTGTTAGTGTCCCGTTAACCATGTCACTGTGAAACGTGTTGACTGTTTTCGACATTAATGTCAATGACCGCCATCACTGGTGGCGACTGTCACCCAATAATAACCATCCCCGACCCCTCCCCCATCCTAAGCCACAACAAAGCCTCATTCCACCACCACACCCAGTTCCCATCCACTACAACACTCGCATTCTTCCACCGCACCGCACCCCCAAGGCCCCAAGCTGTCACACAAACCTTTCACCCTCCCCTCCTCTGTCCGACTGTCCCGATCCCCGCTCTGTCCCAGGCCCCTGCACTCGTCCTCTCTCCCACCCCCTCCCAGTTTTTGCAGCCCCCCTCAAAGCCTCACAGCCCCCATTACCAGCCCAACATCGTCTGCTCATTCCCTACATGTTGTCTCTGCCCCCCATCGCGCCTTCATCTAACCTAATTCCACATCCCAACGTTGTTGAGTCTTCGCTCGGACCCGAATCGCCGATATGTCGTAGGTAGTCCGTAGTCATCATATACAGTTGTTAAAAACCAGCCTCGTCCATTGCAATAGGCCGGACGTCTTCGGCAGAAATCAACGTCGCTCACCATGCCAGAAGGAACTCAAATGTATTTCCCAAACCCCAAAATTCATTGACCCACCCATTCGAATAGGAGGAGAAGGGAGTATCAGAAAAGGCGACGGGGACAATGACTTACCAGGGTGCAATCGCGAGCTGCTCTGGCTAGGGGGCTGCGACGGGCTACGGAGTAGGGGTGGGCATGAAAAACCGTAACCGTATAACCGCGCCTAAAAACCGGAAAACCGCCGTTTTTCCCGGTTAACCGAACCGCAATTTTTTAAATACACGGTACGGTTAACCAACCGTGAGAATAAACGGTTCGCGGTACGGTTACGGTTTTAGAAATATGTTATTATCGGTTAACCAATAACCGGTATGTTCATATCAGGTCATGAACTTCACGTTCTCAGAGAACTTGGAAAGATAAATATGTATCCAACACATCTAGATACATCAATTCTAATAAACATGTGAAGAAACCAAATTTTTTTTGTCACTATAGAATTTTTAATTTCATATTATTAATAATTAGTCAAAGCTTTTGTGAGTTATAATTAATTAGCCCATTCTGCAATCGTGAGACTTGAACATGTGTATTATTTTTTTGAAGCAATTGAATATGTTTATTCTTATTAAGTGTATTTTATCTTTTCCTGTATTCCACTCTCAAAATTTATTTTTCTCTTGTTTGGACTTAATTAATATAGAAAGAACATGGTGTGTGTATATATTTAATCAATGGTTTGATGGTTTTTGGTTAACCGGTTTGTGGTTAACCGAAGTTTTGGTTAACCGATACTCGGTTAACCGAAGCTTTGGTTAACCGAGTATCGGTTAACCGAAGTAATGGGTTTCTCGGTTAACCGGAAAGTTGGTTAACCAAAATACGGTTAACCAACCACGCCCACCCCTACTACGGAGGACACACGTCGGCGTTTGTAGTTGACCGATGAGCAATTGGATGCAAGAGGGAGCTGAATTGAAGGCAACGAAAATTATGTGGTGAGACAACGAAGCGGAAGGTTATTCAGGAAGACAAGTCTGGAAAATATTTAAAAAATCATATTTTTAGAGGTAGATTCTATGATACCCATAAGATATCATACATTTGTCCGCATGGACCAATGAGCATGTAGCAGTTAAATTATTTAAATCTAAATTAAAAATGATAAAGTGATGTGGTACAATGAAATGAATAATAGGTACGAATTACGATACCCTATTTTTTAGAGAGGTAACGGAGTTGTCACCATTTTTGGAATGCAAGAGTGTAGTAGTACGGGGGGCATTATTTCTTTTTTATTAATAACGGGAAATAGTCAAAGACCCTACCTTGCTGTCAAAGTAAGGGAGAGTCGGTGAAGTTCAAATGTTCAATCCATATTAAATTCTTAAGAGAGAACTACCAGATAGGTCCTCGAACTTACATAAAAAGTGTAAATCATTTCTTTTATAAGAGGCTCTGTCCGGTCGTTGCCATTTGGGGCGGTTCTCGATGGAACTTTTTGATGAAATTTTTTGAGCATCTTATTCATTAAGTCTAGTTTACTCATATCAAATTTCAGCTAAAAATTCATTCGGGGAGGCAGTCAAATGAATTTTTGAAGATAATTGAGCAGTTAGACAGCGCAATATATTTCAGAAAATAATTTGACTGTCTTCTCGGTTGAATTTTTAGCTGAAATTTATGATGGATAAACTAGACTTAATGAATACGATGCTTAAAAATTTCATCAAAAAATTCCACAGGAAACCCCCTCAAATGGCAACGGCCGGACAGAACTTCCTATAAAAGGGTTGATTTACAATTTTTATGTAAGTTGAAAAGGTTATTTGATAGTTCTTCCTAAATTTTTAGAAAATAAAGTTTGCCACTATAATCAAACTACATCAACTATGGTAGGATCGGTAACCCCAGATCATTATGATGGTTCGTCATCGTATATATACGTGGTCTAACTCGACAATCAATGGCTGGTCCATCACATGGGCTTGGCTCGTCTAGTTTAACATGGTATGTTGACGCAGAAAATAAAGAACACACGATATGTTGACGCAGTTCGGATAAATCCTACTCTGCGGGGTTTCAACAGGGGAAATCCGGTCCCAAGAATCCACTAGCTCAGAAAAGTTTGAATACACAGATGGTTGCAAAGCAAGGAACAAAAGTAACAGATCTAACACACTAGAATCAGTCAAATATGAGCAAACGAATAAAATAAGAAAAGGAACAGAAATAACCGGACGAAACACCCAAAACCCAGGAGTTATCAGATTCTTGGTCTCGAATCAACTGCACTGGATCAGCGTCTCAACACACGGTATAGTCCTTGCCTTTCTCAGCTTATTCCGAAATCCAGTGTATCTCAGATCACGAAGAAGAAGAAAACCAGAGGTTAACTCTTCGCAAGCTCTCTCTCTTATCGTTCTGTATTAGGGTTTCAATATGGCGTAATAGATGTCTCCAGAAGAGGGAAGGAGACTATTTATAGGCGAGAGAAAGAGCTGGACCAAAGTAATAAGAACCGAACATACCTCGGCTGAAACAGGCCCAATCCAAAGAGGATAAAACTGAAACGGGCCAGACCTATTTAATGGTCCAATTGAATAATTCAATTAGAGTCCATTAAATATAATTACTTTCTAACCTTGCTTTACCTTCCTATCTAAGTATTAAAACATCAAGTATAACATAACTAGAATTAGGATTACAAATATAACATTTTTTGTACACCTAACTTTTTTCAATAAAATATTGTTTCATGTAGTGACATATATTTTTATTAATACATTCAAGTGGGTATCTAGATTAAAACTTATTTAATGAAAGAAGGGGAAATAAGTTACACTCACATGAACTGAAAAATGTCATAATATATAACGGTTTTTTGCCAACATATTATGCACGTCATTAAAAACTTTAAACTTGAAAATCACTATATTGCTCATGTACCACATAAGTAGGGAAAATAGTAGACTGCTAATTTGAAAATAGTTATAGCTACCATAACTTAGTTGAATTGTGTGTCACGCTGGTGATGATACTCAACACATATATATTACTCTCCTTTTAATATGTTAGTACATATAAACTGATTATAAGGTAATAAGGAATTAAGGATGACCTATATATACGTGTTTCTCTTTATTCTTTTTTTTTTTACTTTATGGTAATCAGAGGAGGTTTTGGGGAGAGTTAACCCATGCAACAGCCTTTGGCCTCACATGATAAGGGGACCTCCAAAATCAAAGTTATTACTTTTAGTAGTATGTATAATTACTTAATAATTGGAAACTAGAATAGGAAAATTATCTTCTACGCATCCAGCAAGCAGCGACGTGTCACATGTAGATGTCTAAACAAGTTAATAAAGATTTTAACTTTTTAGTACCTCAAGTGTTTTAGTGTGATTACCGTGAAATAATGTCTACTAAAAATGTAAAGGTGTAAAGTTAAATATTTAATATGTTGAATGTATGACAAATAGGTATAATTTAAAAATTATTGGGTTAATATTGCTATACTAGAAAAACAAATTGGTATTGTATGGATTAGATTATACGTCGTATGATATAGGCATGAAATAATTAATGTGATGGTATTCCTATTACTAAATTATTTATTGATAGATTAACGCACGTATGGAATAGTAAACTCTCTGTAAAACGAGCTTCAGAAACAGTAATACTTCATTAATGGAGGTTCACCGTACAATAAGTCCCAAAGAGAAGAGAAACTATTCTCTAATCTTCCCAGTCCAGAGATCTAACAGCCTCTCATTCTCCCTCCTTATTCCATTTATAGACCCTCGACTAACTGAAAGTAGTTACAATTATTTAAATGAAAGTAACTAACAAACCACTAGTCTATTTATTCCTCCTAGAATAAACTTGACCATAGTATCTATCCTTCTTGCTAGATGCACACGTGTCTCTATCAATACTCTCCTCCTGAAAATCCAACTTGCCCTCAAGTTGGAAATCTGGGAATTGTTCTTTGATTATTTGTTCTTCTTCCCATGAGTGCTCAAACTCCAGAAGACCCTTGATTCGTTCTTGCCAATGTATCAGGAGTTCCCTCTTCCCTTTTTGATTCGTTCAGACTTCTTTAATCTCCTCAGGTTGCACTTGTATTTCACATTCTTCTGTAACACACCTAGGAAGTTCTTGATAGTGGACATTAGGTTTCAACACCTTCTTAAGTAATGAAATGTGGAATACGGGATGTATTCTACAATCACTTGGCAGCTTGAGTTTGAAAGCCACAAAATTCAGCTTCTCTATGATTTCATAAGGACCATAAAACCCGGGACTAAGTTTTTGATTGATCCTTCTTGCCAAACTCCTTATTTTGTAGGGTTGTATTTTCAGGAACACTTGATCTCCAACCTTCAACTCCACTTCCCTTCTGTGTTTGTCAGCTTGTTGTTTCATCAAATTTTGAGCTCTAGCCAAATTTTCTTTTAATTCCTTCAATATCTCATTTCTCTCAACTGTCGGTCTAGATACCTCAGCTACAGCGGTTAAACTCACATCTCCTCTTATTATGGCAGGAGGATCCTGTTCAAATAAGGCTTGGTAAGGAGTATTTTTGAGAGAGATATGGTAATTTGTATTGTACCAAAATTTAACCCAAGGTAACCATTTCACCCATTGCTTAGGTTTGCTTCGAGTTACACACCTCAAGTAAGTTTCCACACACCTGTTTACCACTTCTGTCTGTCCATCACTCTGAGAATGGTATGCAGTACTATACCTCAACTGAGTACCTGCCAGTTTAAATAACTCTGACCAAAAAGTGCTAAGAAAAATGTTGTCTCTTTCAGTGACAATAGACTTGGGAAATCCATGAATTCTGACCACCTCCTGAACAAAAACTTCAGCCACTTCCTTAGCATCAAATGGATGTGACAAGGGCAGAAAATGAGCAAACTTAGTAAATCTATCCACAATCACCAATATAGTGTCCTTCCCATAGGATTTAGGTAATCCACCTATAAAATCCATGCTTATATATGTTCAGATGTGCTCTGGAATTGGTAATGGCTGCAATAAACCTGCAGGTTTAAGGGTCTGGTATTTATTTCTTTGACAAATATCACAACTTTGTATGTAGTCCTTGATGTCAGATCTCATTACAGGCCAAAAGAATAGACTGGATATCCTTTTCATAGTCCTGAGCAGCTTGAATGCCCCCCACTGCTGAGTCATGATACTCCTTCAGGATGGTTAGGATCCTTCCAGATCCTTTAGGTAACATCAGCTTCCCTTTGTAATATAACAACCCTCCCTTCAGTTTGTAATCCATATGTTGATCTGGCTGACTGAGTACCTTCTGTATGATATCCCCACATTTAGAATCAGCTTAGACCATTCCACTCTTGACAGGTAACTATGGATAGGGCAGATAAATTGAACCTTCTTGAAAGAGCATCTGCGACCTTGTTTTCACACCCGGGTTTATACTTAATGATGAAATTATAACCCATAAGCTTTGCTATCCATTTCTGTTGATCCTCCCCCATGATTTTCTGCTCAGTTAAATATTTCAGGCTTCTTTGATCAGTATGGACTTCAAAACTCCTTCCCAGTAAGTATGGTTTCCATTTTTGTATTGCAAAAACAATGACCATCAATTCTTTCTCATATACTGATTTATTTAAATGCTTGGAGACAGCTCTTTACTCATATATGTAATTGGCCCTCCTTCTTGCATCAAAACAGCCCCCAAACCTTTCCCTGAGGCATCAGTTTCTACCACAAACAATTTATTGAAATTTGGGATCCTGAGAACTGGTACAAAGATCATAGCAGTTTTCAGATCTTCAAAAGCTTTGTTGGCCAATTCATTCCATTTGAAACCATCTTTCTTCAAAAGGACTGTGAGTGGAGCAGCGATTCTACTGTAACTTTTCACAAACCTCCTGTAATACCCAGTTAGGCCCAAGAAACCCCTCAACCCCTTCAGATCTTTGGGGACAACCCAATTCTTCATACCCTCAATTTTGGTAGGGTTAGTTGCCACTCCTTTTTCAGAAATGATATGGCCTAAATAATTCAACTTCCCTTGACCAAAGGAACACTTCTTCTGATTAGCCACCAAATCATTCTTTTTTAAAACCTCCAAAACCTGCCTTAAATGTTCTTTATGTTCTTCCCTAGTTTTGTTGTAAACTAGAATATCATAAAAAAACACTAAGGCAAATTTTCTTTAAAATGGTCTCAAAACTTCATTCATTAAAGCCTGAAACGTTGAAGGAGCATTCGTGAGCCCAAATGGCATGACCAAATACTCATAATGCCCTTCATGGGTCCTGAAGGCAGTCTTACGAGTATCGTTGTCCTTCATTCTGATCTGATGATAACCTGACTTTAAATCCAATTTTGAAAAGATTCTAGCTCTTCCCAATTCATCAAGAATCTCTTCTATGACTGAAATTGGAAATTTGTCAGGCACAGTAACCTTGTTTAGAGCCCTATAATCCCCACAAAACCTCCAACCCCCGTCCTTCTTTTTAGCTAATAGAACGGGACTACTATATGGACTGTTACTATGTTTGATTATTCCAGATTTCAGCATTTCATCAATGATTTTCTCTCTCATTCTTTTGGTCAAAAGAATACATATAAGGTCTCAAATTTGGGATGTTGGCCCCTTCCTTGATATTTATAGCATTATCACAACCCCTAGCTGGAGGAAACTTCAACTGTGCTGTGAAAACTTCTGGAAATTCTGCCACCACTCTTTCCCATTCTTCTTCTCCCTTCTGTTCCAAGGTATTCATTTCTCCTTCAGAATACAATAAGAAACCATCCCCAGTTTGTTGTAAAATGTGAGCCATGGTTTTCATTGAAACCTCCATATTGTTCAAGGTTGTTTCTCCCTTAATCATATAAATTTGTCCTTGTTTCCTCCATTTGATTACCTTGTCCTGGAAATTAAAATCCATGTTGCCCAGTTCAGTCAACCACTCCAATCCCAAAACCATATCAGTCACACCAAGCTCCAACATGTAAAAAGTTTGCTGAATCAAAGTTCCTTGTACCTCTAACTGCATTCCAGTACATTTCCCCTTATTAGGAATGAAATTTCCATTCCCAATTTGTACCTTATACCCTTGAATAGGGGTAAAAGGGATTTGCCACCTATCAATCAAACTATGTGCTATAAAATTGTGGGTAGCACCACTGTCAATAAGAATATATACAAGCTTCTCACCACCTGCCCACTTCAGAACTCCTCTCACCTTGAAAGTTTTCATAGAAGCAATGTCTTCTTTACTCAAAACTGACAATTGCATCGTTTTGAGTTGCTGGTGTGCATCTTTTTCCTCCTCAGAATCTATAAGCTCTTCTCTAGACTCGTTTTCACCTTCTGATTTTTCTACCAATATCATCTTGTAGTTCTTCATTTTACACACATGTCCCCTATTCCAATTCTCCCCACATTTAAAGCACAACCCCTTCCTACTTCTTTCTGTCAGTTCACTTTGAGAGAATCTGGGACCAGTCCTCTTCTGATTAGGTTGAATCATCTCATCAACAGGCTTCCTCTCACTGGCTCCCTTACCAGAAATTGCAGAGGTGTTTGGATTACTCTTCCATTTATTCACATCCTTCCAATTTTGAAACTGTTGATCACTGTTGGATTTCCCTGACCATTTCTTCCTTCCCTCATCTTTACTTTTCATGATTGATGCTTCGTTATTCTTGTTTTCAATCAGTGAAGCTGTATCCATGATCTCAGCAAGTGTTCTTGTAGGATACAATTTTAACTCAGCCCTTATGTCACGTTTTAGTCTATTTAGAAACACTCCTCAGTACCTCTTCAGTCAAGTGTCCCTGTGAGTCTATAGCTACTTCAAATTTGTCCCTATAGTCTGTTATTGGTTCCTTCTGTTTCAGACTAAACAATGGTCCCAGTGGATTTTGCACCAAGTCCGGTTGAAAACGTTTGGTCAAATCTCTGGTGAAACTCTTCTAGTTTGATGGCGAGCTTGGCCCTCCCACCATTGAAACCAACTCAAGGCCTGATCCTCCATCGCAACAACTGCCACATCAATCATATGTTCTTCCTCAGTATTGTTCAGACGAAAATATCTATCATCCTTACTAACCATCCAAAAGCGTCATCTCCATTAAAAATAGGTAAATCAATTTTCTGATCTGCCAGATTGTGATACATGTGACTTCGGTGATGTTCGCAACCTTGTCGCGGAGCAGTAGGATGAGATGTACCATCTGAACTTCCTGAACCGTCATCGTTCCTTGTATGTCGGTGATGCGATGTGCGATGTGAAGTACTCGATCGATGTGAGTGACTCCTCGATCGAGCTCATAGTTTGTTGTGTAACTCTGCTATATTAGCTTCCATCGTTGCTTGCATAGAAGCTTGCATCGCTACCATACTTTCTGCCAAGTTCGTCGTCAAATTAAGTTGCATCTCCCTCAGGTTCCTTTCCATACTTGCTTGCATCTACCGTTGACTCCTTTCCATTTACGTCAGTCGACTTTCCGTTTTCGCGCGCGTTACGATCATCCAGCGATCAAACGCGTTCTGATACCAATGATTGATTAATGCAGGTATGGAATAGTAAATTCTCTGTAAAACGAGCTTCAGAAACAGTAATACTTCATTAATGGAGGTTCACCGTACAACAAGTCCCAAAGAGAAGAGAAACTATTCTCTAATCTTCCCAGTCCCAGTCCAGAGATCTAACAGCCTGCTCTCATTCTCCCTCCTTATTCTATTTATAGACCCCCGACTAACTGAAAGTAGTTACAATTATTTAAATGAAAGTAACTAACAAACCACTAGTCTATTTATTCCTTCTAGAATAAACTTGACCATAGTATCTATCCTTCTTGCTAGCTGCACACGTGTCTATCATTTATTTTCTTTGATTTGTCATTTTTATTTACAGATTCTTATTTTTTGTTAATTTATTGTTTATGATTTTTGTATTATATATTATTACAAAAAGAAAGAATAAGTTGAGATAACTAGTGAAATTCTCTTAATGAATTTTTCCTTTGGACGTTCACGTTATATCTGCAATTTGAATATGCTTTTTCATATGATTTTTTATGATTTGAATATGATTTTTTTTTTGTCTAGGGCCTCTAAAGTCCTCAGGACATCTCTGATGTTAATCCACAAATGTAAAGTGTTTAATTATAGTAAGACATTTCAAGTTTTGTTGGCAAAGGTGAACTAAGCCTCTAACCATTCACGACTCAACTAACGAAAGCTTTATGGGAAATATGATCATCAGGATGGTAAATTTACACATGTATAGCCAAAAATTTCACAGGTTTCAAATAGCATTGTATTCCAAAAAGGTAACCATTTTGATCAAACAAAGCCAAACATGGCAATCTAATTAAGCGAACAAATACTTACCAAAAAGTTAAAAGTACAATACTTATTTGTGGGGAGAATCAAAACTCAATAATTTAATGGTTGAAAAATAAAAGCCAGTAGTATAAGTTAGAGCATGTTTCAAATTTTAATGATATACGGAGTACTAAATTGTACTCTGTATTTTGTTAACATGTTAAATGGGGTTTGGCATGACCCTAGTTTTGGGTCATGAATAGAAATGGGATCTTTGGTTTTAATTTGGGAACGAGACCGTTAAATGGCTATAATGACTAGTCCTCTAAAACAGTGTGATCAAATTAAGACACGTAAAAAATAGTGTGTATGGTTCAGGGGGGCTACGTTATGTGTTATCTTATTCGGTTTAATTGGAACTTTGAATGGAAAGGTTAACGAAGTATCCAGACCTTCTTATGAATTTGGAGGCACCGGTTCCAAATGTAAAATCAAGACCTCACATTAATATAAAATATTGACAAAAAAATCTCAATCCAAATACTTATATTCAAATCAATTGAATACACATTAAATAATGTAATAAAAATTTTCTAAAACTTACTTAATACTTGATTTAAAGTAACACAACTCATTATTCAAGCAATTTAAGTAAAAGAGAACTAAAAGGACCAACAAAAAAATGATGGATCTATTTTTTTCTTGTATTTTTCTGATTATATTAATGTATTAATATATAATATTACTATATATTACTAAAAAAAACTTTAAAATATGGGGCCGCATAAATCGGAAGTCCATGTTCCAGATAACCTATTTAACCCCTGAAAAATGTCCCGCCGAATATAGTCCTGCGCTAATATGTAGGGATAGAAAACTTAAACATCCTCCCTTAAGAACCCCAGAAGTCCAAAACCAAACATACCCCAAGAAAAGTCATACCCTTTAAGGGTATAGTAAAAATTGTCTAGTGGACAATTTTTTTCGCATTTCATCCCCCATATTGCCCACAAGACTTCCATGACTCATTTGGATTGCAATGAATGAACTTCTCGTTTGCCACTCTTTTACCCAAAGAAAAGATAAAAAGGACCCCATAAACGCCAAAGTATTAAATGAAAAAGAAGCAACCAGCGCAGCTCCATCCATAATGCATTCCTTCTTTCATGCCTTTCTGTCCCCAAAGTTCATCTTTCTTGTGCTTTGTTTGTTAGGAAGCAACAAAATAAATGGTTTCTGGTTTGACAGATCACTCATCTCCCCATGATTGACATAAATACCCATGTTGTAGCTCAACATTATAAGTAACTCCAACTCTTAGCCCATAAGAACATAGATCCACCACTGGATTCTTTGTGTTCTTTTAAACTAAAAGGGTAAAGAAAGTGACAGTTTTTCAAATGAGAATGAGGAGCAGAGTAGTGCCTTTGCTCTGGATCACATTCCTTGTGTGTTTTGTGCTGTTAAATTGCTTCTCAGAAGCAAGGCACCATCCAAATGCAGCTATACTTGTTGGGGTTGTGCATTGTGACACATGTTTCCACCAACATTCCTCCAAGTCTAGCCATTTCATTGCCGGTACGATTTACCTTCAATTCTGCAGTTGTATTTAGGGTACACTTTGATCTCAGAATATGCTGGGGCCTGGGGATAAGGAAGAAAATATATGAGAATTTTGAAAGAAAAGGACATGCTAGAGAAAATTTAAACCATTTGTTCAAACTCAAAACATTGTGTGTATGTGTTTATTCAGTCTTTTTATTTGTTTCTATTTCTATCATATTAAGCTTAAAGACTAACAGATTTAGATATATGTGAATATTTAAAAAAGCGATAACCATATATCAATTTTGTTTGCATTTTCCTATTAAATGCTTAAAACCAAAACAAGAGTAATTTGGCTGAAATTAATCTGCTTATTTTTCTAAAAGGAGAAGGACTAGATGGCATCCATTTAAGACAAGTAACCAAGTCAAATCTACAAATTATGGTTATTATAAGGCTTCCAAATGCCCCATTAACAGCATTCCGAGGCACTCTTTTGTGCAGGTGCATCAGTTGCAGTAGAATGTGGGGACACAAGAAAAGGTCCAAGCTTCTTCGAGGAAGAGGTGAAAACGGACGAGAAGGGAGAGTTCAGGGTGAACCTGCCACTCTCTGTAAGCGAACATGTCAAAAAAACCAAAGGCTTCTGTTCTGTTAAGCTAATAAGCAGCAGCAGTGACAGCAAACCACACTGTTCTGCCACTGCTTCTGCAGCTTCTTCATCTTCAATCCATTTCAAGGAAAAAAGAGAGGGAAATCGTATATTCTCCGCCGGGTCTTTCACATTAAAGCCACAACTTTGTGACCAGAAACAAATCATCCATGGGAAGAAAACCAAAACTAGTGTTGCAGAATCTCACGTTGCAGATCCAGACCCTGCACTTCTGCAGGTTCCAGTTGGCGGACAGGACATCAGTGGTAAGAAAACCAGCACTGCATTTCTGCCTCCCATTCGAAATTCCCTACCACCAACTCCAATCACTTCAACGGCTCCGGTTAGTCTGGGAAATCCAGTTAGCCCATTTTCCCCCCCAGTTCAGGAGTCATCACCACGTGGCTTATTACCTCCGGTGATGCAGGGTGGGTTTATCCTGCCTATGCCAGAAATCCCTCCAATCCCTCCAATCCCGAAGATCCCTCTCATGCCAAGCATTCCCGGATTTCCACCTAAGAAGTCAGATGGTTTAAAAAGTTCAGAAAGGCGGACTCATGCAAGTGATGAAAAGACAGTTCAGCCTGCAACTTTCACTCCAATAATACGTGGTCTGCCACCAAATCCATTACTGCCACTACCTTCTAACCTCCCGAACCCTGCACAGTCACCTCCACTTATCCCTTCTCCACCTCCTTTACAGCAACCTTTCCCATTTCTGCCATCTCCATTCATCCCGAGTTTTCCAACCCCTCTCCCACAATTCCCCTTCCCAACAACACCTACATTCCCAGGAGTTCCTCCAGCTGCTGCTTCTTATACTCAGAAGAAGAATTTGCCTTAATGACATCAGTTTATTTTCTTATTGTTATCACTTCCTTTTAAGCATTTCTGTACAATCTGATGCCATTGTGATTATGCTCCACAATTGTACTGATTAATGGATGTGTAATGCTGAAATAAATACATTGCTTCCATGAATCATAGTCTATCCATGTTTTCGATTTACTTCTGTGAATGTATCAGAGCAGAAAATGTTGCACAAGTTTTCAATAGAATTCTAACTTCTAAGATTGATTTAAGTATATAATTATAACAAGTGGCAATAGTTTCAAAATGAAAAGCAAGATTCTCTGTCTCTGAGGAAACACCTAAGATAAAGTAAACAAGCAGATATTTAAAAATAAATACAACTCTGTAATAAATATAAACACATTAGATTGTGTCAAGCCTTCAAAGTGAGCCGTTAAAGCATTTCAGAGTAGAATTACATTATGACAAACGAGTGTCCAAAGGTGAATATAAAAAGGAAAAGAACACAAATCTAATATCAGTCACATGACTGTGAATCAGTTCATTGCATCATAGTCATCTAACTTATCATTGTACTCCAAGACCTTTCTTCTAATCTTTGATGTGTCTACCCATGTAATAAAGTCTTCCATGTTCCTGGTAACTAGATATGCTGGATCGGTAATAGTATCTGGTCCAACTCGAACATGACCCTGTTCTATATATGTCACAGCTTCCTTCAAGTGTTCAGCAAACTTTAGCCTCACCAGGACAGTGGAGAGTCTACGTCTGTGAAAAAAGATACAGAAATACTTCAATAACATTAATGTCATTTATTAATATATCCTGAACATTAAAGGTACAGACAGCTATATATTCTTACCGGCAGAAAGATGACACTGATAATTTTTCACACAATGCTAAACTTTTCCGTTCTGATATAACACCGATGTTGTACCTAAATCACAAGAAAATTAGGCCTTACAAAGAGTTATATTGAACTAAATGACATGTCAGAAAAACAAAATTACTAGAAACAACACATCAAGACAGGTGGAACAGAAGGTTTGAGCATAGAGGATATCGCATAGTTCCACATTTCACAACTACTGCTCTTGTAAATTTTGTGATTTTGCAACATAATAAGAAGAATAAAAAAAGGAATCCAGCCTAGTTATCTGTGCTGGAAATACATCATTCCTTCAAAACTTGAATAGCATCTTATGGAAGAAATCTTCCCTTCCCAACATTAACAAGAGTAAAGCCCAGTGACATCAACAACATGATATCGGGGCCAAAAAGAAGAAATAGATAAGAAAGATAAAAAGATAAGGTAAGATAAAAAGGCTAAGATAAAGATAAATATGAATTTGCAATCCAGAATTCATGAGAACAGTCATACAGACATCCAAAGACACATTACTTGACCTTGTTTCCTATTCAACTGAAAGTCTGAGTCTATTAATCAATCATGTACGAGTACTACTCTATTTGTATCAATCATGTGTGAGTACTGCTCTTTTTGTACTTAGGCGCTATCCGATTGCCAATAGCTGAGCAGTTCGCTATAGGCTATAGCGGCAGTAAAAGACACTATATTTTACATGGCTTCTTCTGTGATAGTGTTAAGGGGATTTGGGAGGTAATTATGGCTTTTAGATGTTTTAAGAGGTAAACAAGGATTTTAAAGTAAGATATCAACTCTATTGAACCCTCTAAAAAGCATAAAAGACAACCCTACTAAAATAGCTCAAAACAAAAAATCAAGACCAAACATAACATACACTAAAAGTCAGGCATTATCCCCGAACCCTGAGGGCTGCTTCGCACCCTGAACCTCCCGACAAGTGGGCGCTTCGCTCCTGGACCCCTGAATTGCTGAACGGGGAGCAAGACCCCTGTAGACCTACGTTAGGGAGTTCAAGGCCTCTCAATTACCTTGATATAAAATAACGACATATTGATAATTGCTAGTTTAACAAAACATATGTAGGCACTTGAGTTTTAATTTTTTATTTAGATGTAAGTTACTTTAGTTATTCGTGTGTTTTGTTCAAGAAACTATTGGCCTTTTATTGGTAGCTTAGTAATTGTGAATGTCATTAGGTATGAGATTTTAAGTGATGTATTTATCATTTTTTGTGCTTGATATGTGCATGGCATCTAATATGCATACACATAATCATCCCGCTATTCGTTACACTGCTGTAGCTTTTTGAGGGTTGACCACTGCAATCCGCTATCAGGGAAATGAGGGTAAGACAACACGGTTCCTGATTGAAGCAGAGGAGGGGAGAACTTCTCACGCATGATCTTACTCAATCCTGTACTGCTGTTCAACCACAACTTGATGGGCCATTTATCTTGTCGTAATACAATTGTTTGATTTTGAATTGACTAATTGTTTGAACTTTGAAAAAGGTTTGTGAATACGCAAGACTAGATGAGATTGGCAAATGGGAAGACATGTCAGATAAGGAGTAGTACAATTCATGTGATTGTGAAGGCGGTGGTCTAATACAATGTAGTCTTATCATTAGACTCCTTGATTTAACTATGGAGTGCCATTTAAGATAAATCAAAATTCTAAGCCAGAGATTAACTTGTTTGCTGTCACTCAACACATACATGAAAGTCAAAACTTTAAGCCAGAGACTAACGTGCACAATGTGACTAGTCAAACCTACGTAAAAATGTTAACAATTTAACATAACCTAAAACAATGAAAAGAAGACGTTTTTACAGCTTTTCTAGAAGGGCATCAGTCATCTCAATCCGAAAAGGATCTCTCGCGTCCATCTGCTTCAAAATATTCACCAGCTTCTGTGTCATTCTACACAATCCCGAATACCTAATTTCATCAAATAAAATAAAATAAAATCAGTAGACTGTAGACAAAAGACTATATCTCATTTATATCTGGTAATTTGTTAAGAATAAAAAGGATCGCATATTGAGTCTGGATGTTATACTTCTTGTAGTCGTCTCTCCCTGTGACGCGGTAGCGACGCAAGACCAGAGCTTCTCGGTGCCCATGTTCCCTCTTCCATTCTAGAAAGTTTGCCTTTTTCACCAGCTTCTTCTCATGAAACTTCAGCTTTCTCATCTTTCAGGAATTTTACGTACCTCGTTACAGTGTGTTTTTTATGCAGGCCAGCAGCAAGTGAAAGCTCGCCAATTGCTGGTGCGATGTATAAACCTTAAACCCTAGCTGGAAATCTAGAATCGTGAGATGCAAAAAGATGAAAAGATTCAAATAAGTTGGTTACTTGGTGACTCGGATTAAATGAATACTCCGTATAATATTTTAAAGCCTGGTCCGTTATGTATATTACTCGTGGCCCATATCCTTGACCAACAAATGGCTCACGCAAGATACATCAACTACAAAATATTTCTCTAAAAAAAACTACAAAATATTTTGTTAAGCACTGATATTCAATGTTCCTAAATAGTGAGAGCTTCTCTCTCTAGGGCGATTTTCCACAAAATAAGGTTTTCTTCTCCGCTATTGGTTCTACCGAGTAGCGACCGTCTCCCCTAGGTTTAGGGATCGTTTTCTCCGCTTTCGTCTTCGACGAAGTGCGGCTTTCTTGTGCGGTTATCATCCCCCATTCGTGAGATTTTCTTATTCGGTAGGACGCAACGTCTATATGGCGGTCAAAAGTTGTGCACCTCTGACAGTAGGTGGAGAGTTTCGAAGATATCGTTCATGATTGAGATGAGAAGGTCATTGACGAAGCGTGTGGCTAGGGTCTGGAACAGATCTGGATTCAAGGTCTTCCATGTTAGGCGACAGAGGAGGCTTGATAGAGAATATGATGAATAAGAGATCATGAGAGGAAGAATCTACCGTACTGTTGGACCGTCCCCCTCCTGAATCGCCGTCATGGAGTGCAAGAGAGTCTAGGGTTTGGAAACAACATTTTAATTTTACTCTTTGTTTTCTATTTATTTTTCATGATCAGACTGTTTACTTTTATGTTGGTTACTTTTATTGTTGTAAGACTCGCATTAGGATTGAGTGATGGGAGATCTGCTTTCACCGTCGTTGACTCATTTATGTCCATTATAGGATCAACGAGTCATATTGCTTTTTTTGAAGGCGATTGACTCTAAGTCTAGTTCGAGAGCTGGTGGTTGCATGTGGTCCTTTTGTCATTTTACCTCCTATATGAATGTTGTGAAATCGATTTAAGCCATCTTCTTCCAAAAAACACTGAAAATGATTAATTTGACGCAATATTTTATTAACACTGAAATTCACTAAATTAATGCAAATTATTACAATTATACTTTTCCAATTTCTCTATTTTATTGTCTCGTAAATTTTGTCACTTTTCTTTAAATAAAGATTTGTGATTCCTATTAATTATTTCTCCTGTGAACAAAGTTATAAGGGACGGATAGAGTAATTAACTGAGTTAATAGAATTTGGTGAGCTCGTAAATAATAGTTTTAAAATATATATTATTAATTAAATAAGGAAGAAACATAAGTAAGGAAAAAGATTGTCAAATCATGAAAGAGAAATGACAAAGGATTATTTCCTGAAAAATGTTGATGGATTTGGCAAACTTCAGCGTATGATTATAAATAAAGCTGCAAAAGAATTCCAATTTTCAAGAAAAGCAATTTCCAGAATTTGGAGACTTGTAATAAACCAGGAAAACAACGAGGAAGGGGGGCATAGATGTCAGTCACAAATTGACTTCCAGCATAGGCAAAATATAATTTGTGTTCCTTTAAACACTTTCAAGAACATTTCTTTAAGTAAAAGGACAAATTTCAGATCAGGTGCTCATGCTCTACCCATTTCGAGAAGCAATTTCAAGAAGCACATTTCAGTTACAGTTGTTTTCAGAAAATAATCCTTTACGATTTCTCTTTCATAATTTGACAATCTTTTTGTTCTTGTTGCGGTTGTTTCAGACATGGAAGCCATTTAATGAAGATGAAGAGTTAGATATAGTGTTGGTCCCGGATTATATTAGAGAAACTGTCTAGAGGGGCGGTGAATAGAAAATCATCCACACCTCTAGTATTGCCCTCATGACAAACCTTAATCGTGCACTTTGTAGTCACTCATGCGCATCTTGAGAAACTTCCCTATAGATCACCCATCCCAAGAGTACTTACGTGCAAGCACGCTTCACTTAAAATTCTTAGCCGATGAGCTACCTTAAAAGGAGATGCACCTTGTTGGTACGAGTAGTACTATTAATCCTTTTAAATTAATCTCAAGTATTACAACCGTGGGAATGGTTGTTCTGGTCGGGCAGCCTACAGAACACACTAAAGGCAGAAAGCCTTTATGCTTCTCTTGAGGCGTATTTTGCTTAACACAAACACTGCACATTTAGAGTAAGACAATTAGAATACTAAGTGCAATGAAGTAAATGCATTAAGTAAATGACACCAGATATTTTTACAGTGCTTCACCTCTAATCCTTCCACTAAGATGCTTGTAAATCCTTTACAACACTTAGATCCCTAGCCCTAACACCTAAGAAGTTCTCCACATCTTCTTCAAGTGTAGTGTCATTGTCACCGGGGAAGCAATCCTTGCTTCCTAAGGACTAGCTATTTCACCGAGCTTGCTTGAAGTATTCCCACTTCACTACGGTTACTTCGGCGGCCTTCTTTTGCAACAAAAATACTTTGAAAGATTCAAAGGTTTTCCACCAATGTACTTCGCACAAGATGTATTGTTGTAGCTTTCAGAGAGGTTTAAGAACAAGGACGAACTTGAGTTGATAGTTGGATGTAGAATTTAAAAAATATACCTTCCAAGTTGTCGTTTGAATTCTTGTGTTGAGTGAAGTGTTTAGCTCTCAAGAATTTGTGCGCTTGTTTTAAAAAGTTCGTAGTCGACCAATTCTTCTAAGTGTATCTTTTATATTGAGAGAGGTCTTCCCGTTTGAGTGTAGAAGACAACTTAATTAAATGTCTGTCCTGTAGACTTGACTCGTGAGTTCCAATATTCCCATCAACTTACTGTTTCAAATGTATTAAATGATATTCTCTTGCGTACCACGGTCAATCATGCGCCATAAATATCTCAACAGATGGATATCATTAAATGAGCACTTAATGTGCAACTTCGTACATCTTCCGTTAAAGGTCTCATCATCGTTAGCGTATATCCTATTAGTATAACAGAACTTTCAATGCTTGAACAATTTTGTGCGAGAGGAAGCTCTTTTGCTGGTTGTTCTATTAAAGCCGAATCTGCTCAAGAGCACGAGTGTTCACATCACTTGCGTCTTAGAGGTTCTGTCCAAAGCTAGATAGAAGTGTGTTGTTCCGTCAGTCGACTATTCTAAAACTTACAACAAAAAATTCTAGATACATTTTATCTATAGGGGTACTCTAAATTACTAATTAATTTGTACACCATCATAAAAATCTAAGTACAATTTATTCCTTACATATATGGTAGCAATGAAAGATGTTTTAATAGCTGGTAACCCACATGTAGTTTCAACTTATGCACTGTTTTTCCTTCCATGTATTTGGACTGATTCCATATGTGAAAATGAATCTTCAATAGGGAAATTGTGATTTGGCACACGTCTTCCCTTCAAGTTGGAAGTTAATGTTATGTGGCTGTGATTTGTTTTAAATTTGCTATAAAAACGGAGCTACAGTACACATATGTTCATATTTTGTGTTTATTGTTTGAAGCTAACGATGGATTGTGTTTCTGAATGAATACACACATTTTGTTTTACGAATTTCAATTTGGCTCTTCCCAACATGTGTACGCGATCAGCCCTTTGTTGAACAAAGAAAAGAGGATTGCCCTAGATGTTGATGGGGGTAGAGTCATACGACATCTCTTTGGGAAATTTTCTTCAACAATACTGATGAAAAAGCTGAAGGGTGTGAAAATCGAGAAGCACTAAAAACAATGATTGTGTTCATGGTGTTAAACTATATGTTTTAAGTATATAATGTTTAATGGTATCGTCGTGTGATGGGTTACATGAAGGACGGATGGGTAGGTGGCAATAACAAGCTATGCATTACATATTCTTAAGTTAGTGTCTTCTACATCTTTTGCTTTTTGAATTTTGTTATTGGTTTGCACACTTCAACCAAAAGTGTGCTTCATGTAACCTACCTAGCCTTATTAAAGGTTTCAGATGTTTTAAATCTTAGTTTCGTCTTCAATTATGATATCATACAATGTAAATATTTAATTTATTGCTTCTTGGTGTGTGTCAAAGTGTGGAATAAAATTCCCCATTTTGAAATATGGGGTATGTTTTTTAAAGACCCATTACTTACTAATTTGATATTTTAAAGTTTTCTAAAAGGACAAGTTAAAGATTTAATGTTGTACTATGACATAGATAACTCTGAATTTTATAAAAACTTTGCTTTTCATGAATAAACAGAAAAAATAACTATTGTGACTAGGAGTGGGTAAGAATCTCGGTCTTGTTATCCCATTCCAATATATCCCGAAACCGTACCAGTGTTGTCCCATTCCGTTTAGGGCCTATTTGTTTTGTCCCGCACCGGTTTAAAACGAGGCATGACGGGACATTGGAAGGTTATCTCAAACCGTCCCGTTGTCCCATTTGTAATGAGTATATAGTTTTTGAGGCACACCCTCTACTGCTTCACCTTCTCATGGTTGGACACCACTTGCACGAAGCAGACAGGGCAGCCACACACACAAATCCCTAACATGAGACGGACTCCTACAAGTCTTCATAGAGTCATAAACTCTAACCAATCTACTTCCAAGGACAACTTTGAAGACAACTAATTACATCTAAAAAAATACACACCACAACTACATACAACTCACAAACAAATGACAGATAACTAAATATGAATTACATACACGTACTTTTAAAATAACAGACAACTTCACGACTCTTACAGACTCCTCACAACAACATGACATATGAGTCATTACATACAACTCAAAAACACATACACACAACTAAATAGCAAATGACAGATAATAAAATGCCAATTACAAACACTGCAATTACAAGTGGTCTGTCAGACAAACAACCTTTTTCATTTTGAAAACACACAAAAAATCAAGAAAACAAAATCAAGAAAAGAAGATCTTCTCATGTCATCAAACATACTATAAAATACATTTGTAAAATAAGAAGATGTGTATACAGGCAGTTGTTCTATGTACTCAAACCAATAAATTTGTCTGTCCAGACAGACATCTTATTAAGACTCTACCAACTATGAAACCATGTTCAGCTAGACAGACATTGCACTTCAAATTTGTCTGTCGGACA